ATGATCAGCTGATCGGATCGATAAAGTGCGTTTCTGGATTATAATGTTTTTGATGTTGCGATCACTTGTGCAAAAAGCAGTTTGTGGACGGAAAGGGCGACCTGAGCTGAATGCGTGTTATGCAAGCACAACTCTTCCAGTTTCATATGCCAAAAAACCCTTATTGCACTAGTTTATGTGGTTGCATTACTACCGGGCTTTAAAAATAGTTATGTAAATCTTTTAAGATGGACTTAAAAGGGTTTTAATAAACTTTAACCTCAGAGTTCGCCATTGTCCCCGGTAACATCAAAACAAATGCAGAGCGCTCAGTGAATTAATGCGACCGCAGGATTGGTGATTCATTTGTGATGTTTCAGGCTGCGACACACTAAAGATCAACAGTTTCCCACAGAGAGCCGAGCAGCACGTCCTGACAGTAAATGATCCACACGTTTGTCCATCCAGTGACAGAAAGATGACTTTACACTTTATACATTAACTTTTTATAGGCGACGGTTTAGTTCGAGACCTAAAAGATGTTCAACTTACTGTTAATAGAAAACAGAGAACATCCGTGAACAGTTACGTTTGAAAAGCTGGAATTAATCTGAGCTGTTCACAAAGAAGCAGCTGCTTATGCAACTTCACGTCTCCCAGGAAGCTCAAAGGGCCTGAAGGTAACTCCTGCAAACATGTGCACATTTAACCAAACCTAGAGGATGAGCATGGAAACCAACAGCGTGCTGAAGTCGACCGAGTCGAACAAAAGTGAGAAATGATCGACGACTTATTTCTGTTAAAAGGACCAAAACAATTTTCCACAGGAGAAAAAAACACGAGCTTCATCTGTGGGTCAAACTTTACCCCGAACCTCTGCACATCCTCGACACAGGAAACAACTACTTCACATACTGTGTGTGATTCACTGATATATTTATTCTCTTATATTCTGTATCATGTCATTTACTGCTCGCACGGTCCGGGAGGAACCGTGACAACATAATCTCCTCTGGGATCAACAAAATATTCTGATTGATTGGTTGATAGCTCACTGATGTTTCTGCCTCTGTGAGCAGCTCAAAAACAAAGACCATCGTTCTGCACTGGGTCCAAAAAGCTTCTGATTTCTAACTTTAAGTTTAATTTATTGCTTTTATACAGAGTTAGTGACAGCAGTGGTCAGCTGCTTTAGATGAAACCTGAGCTTCTTCTGGATGCAGAATGCGCTTTGAAATGATACGACCATACGATCGCATCCCTAGAGACCGCCGTCAAAAGATGGCGTTAAATTTAATGTTGTTGTTAAACTTCAGATTAAAATCAAACTTGACAGAAACTGGCAAAAAGAAAGAAAAGAAACACGAGATTTCAACACTTCACACAGCTCGGCACCACAGCCCCACAACATTTGGCTAACCTCACTCAGAAAAGGAAAAGTCACACACACACACACACACACACACACACACACACACTCTCTGTGTCTTAATATCTTTGTAGGGACATCTAAAATTGAAATAATGCTTTCCCTAAACCTAACCATGAAACTAAAACCACATTTTGGGTCTAAAAATCAAACTTATGGGGAAAAACTCCTCGTCCCCATAAGGACTGTTGGTCCCCACAAAGATATGTAAACACACACACACACACACACACACTCTCTCTGTGTCTTAATATCTTTGTGGGGACATCTAAAATTGAAATAATGCTTTCCCTAAACCTAACCATGAAACTAAAACCACATTTTGGGTCTGAAAAATCAAACTTATGGGGAAAGACTCCTCGTCCCCATAAGGACTGTTGGTCCCCACAAAGATATGTAAACACACACAAACACACACACGTTATAAACTAACCAATGAAATTTATATTTGAGGCCGTCCTGTTTAATTAA